AAGTTCCTCTACTAGCCATTGAAATTTGTTGAGTGATTTCCGGGAGTGAAAAATGAACACAGATTGAGCAAAAGCTATTTTTAGGCAGTAGTGCCAGGAATATATTGCCCTCTTCATTTCTTCTCTAAGTCAAAAATACGTGTATCGATTTCATTCAATACCTCTTAACTTATACATGTAGTTGGCAAGTAAGAACTTAACAGTAATATATAAAAAAAATTTAAATGATTAAAACCCAGTTGATATCATAAGTAAAAAAAAAAGGAGAAGACTTAAAAAATTAATCAAACAGGAAAACTGTGGGGGGTTAAATACATAATTTTGTTTGCTACGTGTGAGTGCTGCTCTCTATAGGAAAAAAGGATTAGAGGCAATACTGCAGGAGTGAGAGTGTTATGATCCCAGTTTTGTTAAAAGGACGGTGCGCACGATGTACTGCCCTCTTTTGTCCACGCCTATCCCTTCGCTTGGCTTTTGTTTATTACACAACTGCCCGACGATACACCATGTACTTTCCAATAGGATAATTTTTAATTGTTAGTCTTGAGAGAAGCGTCTACGCACTGTGGAAGTTTGGCCTATTGAAGTGTCAGGCTTTACTTCCTTCCCCAAAATAAAATCATCCAAGGTAACAATTATATTTATAGCCTGTTGAGTTTTTAAAAAACTGAGACAGATTTTGCCTCCGGTTTGAGATGTCGAGGTGAAATTTGCATTTGTTTTTCAATTAAGTCTAGTGTTCAGACATCAGATTAAAAAGTGGTACAAACTCCACCGTCTTCGAGCGAAATGATGAGGAAATCCCTTTAGCATACACTCAACGCTTGGTCATCAGGAAACAAAAAAACATGAATTTGTTCTCATCACTCAGTTTATTCAACGTCATCGATCATTGGAACAAGTTTTCTTGCAATGTACAAACACAAGAGCGAATGACGCATAATTGTAACCCATTAACATTCAAATATTTCCCTTGATGCTTCCCGTCCGTGTCTTTTAATGTGTTTATAAACAGCAAGAATGCATCTTAAAATCATCAGTTTAATACATGAAGCCTGTGAAGATTTAATATAGCACCAAATGGGTGATTCAATGTTATGATAAACTCATTTTTTCTTGATTTGCATCCACGGCTACATTTTAAAGAAACTGAAACATAAAGTAATACTAAAATGTATACAAGCTCGGAAAGACAGAGTCATGAACAGTTGATTCACAGTAATTAAAAACAGCTCAATTATTTCTCCATTAATTTAGTAAACTTTGAGTAAATAATATTTCAATACATGTGCTATATACCTATCAAAATCAAAAGAAAAGGTAACGGTAATTGGATTTTAACGTTAGTAAAAAGCAATTACTTATACACGTGCTTGCTTACCGTTACATTTTAGGTGAGATAGACCGTAAACTGTCTTTTATTTAAACCCAAAAGTACCAGTTTAGAAACTGTTTTAAAAGAAAAGCAAAAGCGGCCAACTTAATCTCCAAGCGGGCGATAGCCTGTTATTAAATGTATGGAGTATCCCGCCATGTGATTTATTCCAATCACCGCTTAACGAGAGGAAAGGTTATTTATTCTTTGCTTTCATTCGACAACTCTGTGCAAAACGTTTGCATGGTTTAGTGCATGATTTGGTCGAACCAAATGTTATTTTTCTTTTCCGTAATAGATTTTATGTTGAAATATTTAGTTGTAAGCTTGTGACGTTATCATGTTTTCTCCGTATTCTATTTTACAATTTCATCGCAGTCAAACTTACAGAAGGATGATTAAAACCAACATTTCTAATAAATGCACACATGAAAATTGGGAGCATTATAAATCCAATTATCCTTTTTACCGATAACGAACGAGTGATGCTTAAAAATAGCATTCCGTGCTTCATATAGATCTACATAATAAGAAAAGTCAATATTGTTTACGGGCTGTTTCACGCATTTTCATGCTACATGTTTTAAGAGAATAATAAGACGTTTTCTTCCAGTGCCACCAATACACGGCTTTACACCAAATTGATGTGTACCCATTGGTGTAATATGGACCATTTAAATGAGAGTCACAGCAATTTTTAAACCACCAGGCTCCGGAGCAAGATTGTGCATGATTACAACTGCCACATGAATCAGTGTCACGATCCTTTGTTGAAAACGAACAGCCATTGTGATATTTAAGAGCATTACCGGCAGTGCCTTTGTCATCGTATCGGCCAATATTCAGATTGTACTCACCAGGGGATATTTGGAAATCTGAGTACTTTGCCCAAGACGTGTTACCCTCCCAGTCCCCTAAATCAACTCGTAGCTCCCACGTTCCTTGTGTCAGAGTCACCAAGTTGTCATTGCCCAACCAGAACTCACCGGACAGATCACCAAAGCCAGACTGGTACTCGGTCCAGTTACGGTAGAAGTCCACGCTGCCGTCTTGTCGCCTCTGGAACACAATCCAACCCCCGCCATCAGTTACCATGTCACAGTAGACACAAAGACCGTCAGCACCGAATCCCTCTGGGTAGATGGTGTAGATACCGCTGGAATGAAGACCAGCGTCCAAGATCATCTTGCAGCTTCTGTAGCGATTTAGGGAGATACCACCAGTCAGAGAGGAGAGAGGTGTGTCCTCGTCTGCATCAATGTACACACTCCCAGGAGATGCACTGAAGTTTCCAGGATGCTGTCGTCTTGTGGCAAGGTTCAACTCGCACCTTTTGTTACAGTCGTTGAAGTTAAAAGACTTGCATCGCACATCTCTGCTGCAGTCCCATCCGCAGATAGCACGAGAGCGTACAGATTTACGTGCGTATGCAAGCCCTTGCAGTGCGCAATTTTCCGCGGCGTACATGATTTGTTGACGTGGATTCAGTTGATATCCACTGACCAAAATGACCAATACCAAAAGGATCACCACTTCAACTATTAATCCAGAGCCCGGTTTCTTTATTTTTGACATTTCTGTCCTTCAACTAATAACGACGTAAATGTCACAAATATCTTGTATTCGACGAACTGGACTACAGGCAATCGCTATACAAAGTTCAGTTTTGAGACGATTTTGGCCTTAAAGATGTAGGCCTACGGATATGTTTAAGATACCAGAATAGCCGGCAAGATTATGCGAGTTGTATCCAATACACTGTTTCAATCATAAATCAGCATGTTGATTGTTCTTCCAAACCTGTTTGACGAATTTGATAGCAATTTTTACGATAGCAAACCCGGTTAAACTTTGTACTTCAATCAGCTCCAAACGTGTCAGAATTATGTTAAATTGGAACACAGAGAGGATAAACGCGTTACCACAGCGCATCATATACGAAACTGATAACCACAGCACCTGGTTACGCGTAAGCGAAGCATTTCATGGAGATTTCATGCAATGATTGGTTAGTGATAAGAATATTAATGAACAGCTCAGTCTTGATTGGTTGGCAGTGAGCCTGAATGCGCTGTCTAAGGCGCAGTGAATTGTGACGCGCAATATCCGCTCATGTGTCTCTACACTTGCTATGAGTGGATGACAAAATAAATTTCTCTGCTTTAAATTAATGTTATTATTGACTTAATCAGGGTGACAGACAGCGTCGCTCTTATCAAAACATTGCTTCATTCGAGCCTTTTCTAGCCAACTGGCAAAATAAGAAATACTTCAAGAGCGATACACTTACATTCCAAATAGCTCCATTCCACCATTCTTTGGAGGGTCCCCAGTTGATGTGGTGGTCTTCAGAGTGGGAATGCTTGACTATCGCTGACTTCTCATACTCTCCCTTCCTGCCATGGGCTTGGTGTTCTTTGAGTCTGGTGGGGAGGTATCTACCAGTCTAGCTAATATACACTTTGCCGCATTGGCAGGGGATCTTGTACACCCTTGGTCGGTGGTGCTGATCTTATCGATCCTTGTGGGATGTCAGCATCCCGCGGATCTTGAGAGGGGCTGTGTGGAACACCCTGATGTCATGCTTGCTCAGGATACGCTGGATGTGGTGGGAAGTACAACCTAGTTAGGGGAGGTCCTTTAACCGTAAACCTGCCAACATCTGGCAAGCAGAGGAAGCAGACAGCTACATTTTGTTACCTTGTATTTATCATTGGAGTGCCTGAATGATTAATGCTAATGGTTGTAGCTCATTTATATTGAACAACCCACAAAGTGCCAGACACTTTAGAGAACATTTTGGTTTTTTTCTCGGAAAGGTATCATACTGTAGAGAGTTTTCCAGAAAAATGTGGGGAAAAGCCTGCTCGAGTGGGACGCAGACGCATGATTTGTCCTCTTGACTATCAAACGAAAATAACACATATCATTGTCAAAGCTGACAACCTAACTGGCCGAGTTGGTCCACTTTCAAGTCCTGTGACCTGTTCATGACGAATGGAAGCACTAAATACATGAACAATGTTCTTTACATCAACAATGCTGATAAAAGTACTGGATACATGATTTGATACCATTGATTTCCACTGACTATATTGACCACTACCAAAACTTTCATCATTTCAAAAAACAATGAAACCAGCGTATGGTTTCTTCATTGTGTAAATATCTGACTCTAATAGAAAACTGCTCCTTTGACGAATCTTCCAGTAACTTCGTGAAAGAAAACAAAGTCAAACTTGTAACTCTAAATTCTCATCCTTCGTTTAACTCGACTGTCACTAACACGG